TTTTTAACAAGGTGTGACAAAAAGGAAAGGGGAATTGAGGTTAAGAGGGAAGAGGAGAAACAATAACATACTAACATCCATTCTATACGTATTGCCATATCAACATTCCAAATTACTATTTTTACTATTTTCTGCCTTCAGATTTAAGTTCTCATTTCAATGTATGCTCTTCATACGCTGTCTGTCAACTCAATACATTTATAGAATAAGTCCCATCTTTCAGTTACTTTTTGTAAAGGACAGTCCTTCATCACTTCTGATAAAATGTCCATTTCCGCTGTTTCCCGTATCTTCTGTGTTTTTGTGTTTTTTTGTAAAGGGTTCTTCAGAATCTGTCCCTGGCTCCCCTCTGGCAGTGGACTCCCCTTTGTCCCTCAGGCAGAGGTCACTGGAGGGGATCGGAGGAGCCGTCTCACAGGGTAAGACCCAGTCAGCCCATTTCTTCTCAATCTCCCTTCTTTGCATCTTTCCAAAGCCATTGAATGGCCTTTAAGGCCTCCTGCATGCAATTCACGAAAGTTTTGTTGATCAAAATAGGAAGATTATTTTTGAGTAAGTTGGGGATAAAATTCATGTGAAGAATAAGAGATCTTTCCTTGCAGGCATTGAAAATATGCAGGGAACCTCTCCCTCATCTCTCCTTTGCGGAGGAATGGAAGCTGTGCCTGTGCAGCCAGAAGAGGTAAAGGGGACTGGATGGGGAGATGGAGAAGGAGCCTGGGCACCTTTGTTTCCTGTCTGCCTGGTCAGCTGCATATTGTTTGTCCCCTTCCATTCGCTTCTTTCAATATTATGGAGTAAATTGTATGAGAGATTTCTCAGGGAACGGGTGAGTCTGGCCTTGGAATCCCAGTCCACATTTTCTGCTTAGAGAGGGGCACGGACCAGTTCGTCCCAGTTCGTGTGGGGCTGTGGCTCCCTTTCCCTGCCTCTTCATCCAATCAGCCACTCACTCACGTCTGCTTGCTGTCTTTTCCCACCTCCTCGGCTGATCTCCCCGTCACCAGCAAGAGCCCAGACTTTTCTGCCCTGCCCTTTTCTCTGAGTGGGAGGTGAACCAAGAGACGGGGTGGGGCAATGAGGCCTGAGCTGTTGCTGGGACTGGATGAGGTGCAGGAAGTGAGGGTGCTGGGCCTGGTGAGTTGCTGGTTGAACCAGAGGAGGCCTCGGCAGGGGAGCAGCAGTACCTGCGCTGCCCCCCTTATGAACTGGGACAGACTGGTTCGTGCCCATCTCTAGTTGTGTTCATTCTCTTCTTGGCGGTACTTATTTATTTATTTAATTTATATCCCGCCGATCTCGTCAGTTATGACCACTCTAGGTGGCTTACAACGTAAATAAAATACACATCAAATACACGATTGAATATAAAATTATTAACATAATGAACAGTAGACAAATTCAACAAGATGGAAAACGAACAGTAGGGAAAGAAAGGGAAGGAGGACATCAGGGGTTAACTGGAGGTAAGGCCTGCCGAAATGTTTTTAGTTGGTTTTTAAAGGTACCCAGTGAGGGGGCCGCGTGAATCTCCGGAGGTAGGTTGTTCCAGAGCCGAGGAGCCACCGCCGAGAAGGCCCAGTTTCTTGTTTTTTCCTTCCAGGCCTCCCTCGGCGTCAGGCTCCTCAGCCTCACCTCCCGATTTGCACGAGTGACACGGGTAGAACTTGGTGGGAGTAGGCATTCCGCCAAATATCGAGGCCCTAAACCATTTAGGGCTTTGTACATAAGCATCAAAACTTTGAAGTCAGTGTGGAAACGAATGGGCAGCCAATGAAGCGCGGCCAGAATAGGAGAAATATGATGGAATTTTCTGGCCGCCACATTCTGCACCACTTGGAGTTTCCGCGTCAACCTCAAAGGTAGCCCCTCGTAGAGCGCATTGCAGTGGTCAAATCTGGAGATTATGAGCGCATGAAACAAGGTAGTGAGTGCCCCCGTATCAAGATAAGTCAAAGCCGGGCTATCCGCCAGGGATGGAAAAAGGCGGAACAGACCACCAACGTCACCTGAGTTTCCATGGTGAGCACCAGATGGATCCCCAGGCTGCGGACCCCACTCTTTGCGGCAACGGTGACCCCCCCAAATGAGAAAGTCACCCAAGGCAGCAACAGTGGGGGCACCCACCCTCAACCTCCGTCTTGTCCGGGTTCAGCCTCAGCCCATTTTCCTGCATCCATTGCATAACAGCCTCCAGGCAGTGCTGAAGGGACATCTCCTGCAGTAGGTGGAAAGCAGATGTAGAGCTGGGTGTCATCAGCGTATTGATGACACGATGCCCCACACCCCCTGATGACCCCTCCCAGCGGCCTCATATAGATATTAAACAGCATTGGGGAGATAATCGAGCCCTGTGGAACCCCACAATTGAGACTCCACAGGGCCGAGACATTATCCCCAAGCTGTACTCTCTGGGGGCGGTCCCCCAAGAAGGAACAGACTTAGTGAGAGTCAAACAACCGCATTCTCTCTGAAGATGAAAGGCTTCCTCTTCTTTCAGGGTCCTGTAACCTTTGACGAAGTTGCCGTGAATTTCACAGAGGCGGAGTGGGCATTGCTGGATCAGAACCAAAGGGCCTGCCACAGGGACGTCATGGATGAGACGCGTGAAAATGTGTTGTCTTTGGGTGAGATTTGCTTTCCTCCCCCTTCAGTCGACAGACCCACAGTGCAAATGGTATGAAAGAATATGTAGCCTATCACTGCTGTGAACGTTCACAAGATGAGAGAGAGGAAAACCATTCCAGTTTTTCTTTCTGCAGCACAACGGGTGTCGTTTAGACACTTGAATGCTCAGTCCCACTGCAAATCCACAATAAAACAACTGAAAAACAGCTAGTCACTTGGATAGGATATTCCATTTCATATGGAGAGGTTTAAAGCTTAATCCTCACTGATCGAGCAGACAGGAAAGGACCAGTAAAAGCTCTGCCCCTTTAGAGAAACAGGAAAAGGAGGTGGGGCTGAAAGGTAGATTTCTCAGAGTATCAGACTAACTGTAGGTGCAGAAGGTCTGAGAGTCAACAAGGGGACAGACCATTCTTTCCTCATGGTCTGTCCCCTTCCTCCTTCTGGTCATTTTGGGGTGCCTAGATTCTCAGAGTCGATGCCAACGTGTTCGACATCTCAAGGTGTCCCCTTCCAATGGGATTTTGTTTATCTTATTTCAGCCCATGAGGGAAGATACAGCAAGAATCAGGAAGAATTGTGTTGGGTAGGATATGAAACAGTCGTTTGTAAAGAGAGTCGTCTTCAAGGAAGGAGAAGTGAAGCAAATATACACAGTAGAAATGAAGATTTTCCTTTTCCACTCAGAGATTCGCAAGATGCTCTGCTCCAGAAAAATAGAGAGAAAAGGAAGGAAACGGATAAATGTTCTTTGGCCAGAACTAACTGTAGTCGAAGTGCTGCTTGGACAGTCCACACAAGAGGGAGACCGCTGAAAACCCCAGAAGGTACCAAGAGTCTTTGGGATCATTCACCCTTGGGAATTCATCAAACTTTTCAGAGCTACAAAAGTAGAAAGAGCTTCCAGCACAGACCAAACATTGTTCTCCCTGAGGGAATGGACACAGTGAAACCCTTTAAATGTGTAGAGTGTGGAAAGAGCTTCAGTCACAACAGGTACCTGACTTGTCATCGGAGGATTCACACTGGGGAGAAGCCATTTAAATGCTTGGAATGTGGAAAGAGTTTCCGTCAGGGTCCAAACCTTGCCAACCATGTGAAAATCCACACAGGGGAGAAACCTTTTAAATGCCTGGAATGTGGAAAGTGCTTCAGTCGAAGGGCACACCTGGATCAGCATTCGAGGATCCACACTGGGGAAAAACCATTTAAGTGCTCAGAATGTGAAAAGTGCTTCAGTCGAAGTACACACATTGTTCCCCATATGAGGATCCACAC